CAACCAACTGCATCCATCATATGGATAGGTATATTGCATACTAGTCTGTTCGATTATCTCGATGTCTCTCTCGAGTAACTTATGACTAGGATTACTTAGGATCTGTGTTTAAAGGTAAATCGATCTAATTATCATGATCTCATCACGATCCAATTTTCGTTGCACAGATCCATGGACATCACAATATATTCATGCAACATTCAATATAAGTGATAAAATACTAAATAATAATAATAAGCAAAAAGATTGCGTGTCAAGTCACACGTATCATCACTCACGCGATTGGCTTGCAGGGCACCTATGACTATCAGAAGATAGCAGCATCAACCAATCCCTTGGAAAGAATCGATAAACAATAATTTTAGTCTAGCAATAAGATACATTCTCTATCATAGTCAGAAATATGTGAGATCCAATGATGTCGATAAAAGTGGCTTGATTGATGATGGCGTTATAGTGGCTAACCGATGGTTCCATCTACTCAACCTCAGGGTGAGGTATGAACTAATGAGCATTATTTTATGCAAGCTGTCCAAGAAATAGATCATAGAGCTCAAGGAACTATGTGTAACATTTATACTCACAGGAAACTTGGAAAGGGGAAGATAGTTGATGACTTTGAGCAAATGAAATAGATCCTCTGCGATATAAACATGGAATAAAGCTCGTTATATTTGCAACTATTATATTACAAAGGATTATATGGCTAATAGATGTACGATGATAATAAGTCTTTTTTTTTTTTAATGTTGGTCATTCTTATGATATAGAGCAATAGGTAAATGGTGACAACAGAAGGTTCAATGTACTCCAACCTCCCGAGCCATACATGTCATAGTCATACTTCCTCAAGAGGCTCCTCAAACATGCGTTGCTCATGATGATCAAGCAATAACCATTACCACATTAATGCACCATTGTTATATAATTTCAAAATTATGCTCGATAGACATACCATATTAATATATAAATTTATAAGATCGAGAAACATGATCCACTAGTTGTGATGTCCCGTCATTCATTTTGATGGTCGAAACAGATATATATATATATAATTTATATTTATTTATTATTTAATTTATCGAATCTTTAAGTTTCAATATGTAACCTAATCTGGCTAGATTCTTTGTATACAATTCAACAACAATAGAAGAATAAAAAATATTGCTATCAACAATAAAAAAAAAAGATAAATTCACTATCTAATCCATTTTTTAAACTCTATTCTTATTAAAATTTAACTTTTATATAAAATATCTATTTTTGTCATATAATAAACACAGGTTACTAGTACTCAAAAGAATATGTATATATGGATATATGAAACAGAGAAAGTATACGATATGAATTAGTGTATCATTCAGATATCTAAATGTTTTTTATTAAAATCATAAGAATATGTATGCCATATTCATTTATTATCCTGCAAAACATGTAAATTTCGTGATTATTATATCAACATATATTTCGAATCTGTATGAAATATATGTAAGATTTATTAAAAAAAACTTGAAAGAGAAAGATACGCCACTTTGAATTGCAAATCAACGTAATTATTCTGGACATTCATCCCTTTAGACCAAGACCGTAGTTTAAAAGAACACCAACTCGGTGCAGCTGTGGCAGCAGAGGCTCAACTATTTGGAAGGACCGTTGGCGGCATACGGTGGCCAATACAGATGGAACTCGATCTTGTAGACCACCGTCACGCCTTCCAAGTCCACCGGCGACGACCTCACGTACCCTCCAACGAACATAAAGTCGCCGGTGCCGCCGACGACCGGGTGGTCCGCCGGCTTGATGTTGTGGGTGCCGCCCACGATCGAGATGGAGCCCTGTAGGCCTCTGATCCTGAGAGTGATCTTTGCGAACGACACGCTTCGCAGGCCGTCGAGGCTGGAGGTTATGGAAGCCCCCTCGGCGATGCCTGCGACTCGAGACGACGCGTTCGGCGTGACCGTCATGCCGTCGTTGAAGACGAAGATGGTGCCGAAGGGGGTGGTGGTTTGGCCGACGCCGGCGCCGGCCACGCCGTCGACGACGATGTAGCCGGTCTTGTTTATGGTCTCTTGTTGGAAAAGGGAGAAGTTGAGTGACCTCAGGTGATGGTGGTGTGAGGAGGCCGCTCCAGCTCTGGGGGGAGATAGGAGAGGGAGGAGGAGCAAGAAGGGCAAGTGCAGAAGCTTAGACATGGTGTAGGAGGACTAATGACTTCTATGGTGATAGTAAGAAAGGGTGGTGATTTGTTCCACCTCCGTCGGCAACCACTTATAACGTGTGTCAATGTGTTGTACTTCCAAAATAGCGGCGATGTGGTGGAGGCAGGTCATTTTGCCGTGTTGTGTTGGTCGATTGGGACTGGCTGAGGGGGCCAAGGTTCCCATGACAACACGGGAAGGCTAACTGCGTTCTCACAGACTTTGCTCGATATTTACGTGTCTAAATCATGTTGTAATGACTCTCTCTCTCTTTCTCTCACTACAATGTCTGAATCATGTCAGTAAATGTCTCTCTCTCTCTTTCTCTCTCTCTCTCTCTCTCTACAATGTCTGAATCATGTCAGTAAATGACTCTCTCTCACAACCAACGATTGGCATTTTACCTTCAAAAAATTTTGCTGTTGAACTTTTACTCCGAAATTAGTTTTTATTTGGGACGTGTTTTTTTTTTCTTAATTTGATGAAAACGCCCTCCATCCATTATTAGTCACCAATCCCGCTCCCATCGTGAGTCACTCGTTGCCTCCTCCCCCCTTCCTTCCGTCTTCTCGATCTCCTCTTTCTACTCCTCTCTCCTTCCTATTATTTCTACTCTTCTCCCCTCCCTATTCTTTCCTGTCACCTTTGTGCAATGTCAGTCATGAGTGAGAGCCTTATCCCCCTCCTTCAGTAAGACTGCAGCCACCATGGTTGTCGCTCCCACTTCCTTGCGATCAAAGACTGAGGAGTTCTCTTCCCACATCATCATCTTCCTCATGATAGATGACAGGAGCCTTTGGCTTCACTCATGGGCCCTCGTTAGAACCGGGCAGCAAGGGTGTCAGTAATGAGGGTGTCAACGACAAAAGCAACACAAGGAAGTGAGAGAAAGGGAGGAGGTGACGAGCGGTGTCGCTCGCGGTTGAAGCACAATGTGGCGATAGATATTTTCATCAATTTCATCAATTTTCATCAATTTGACAAAGGCGATAACAACCAAGTTGACTGATGGTGGGCAAAAGATATTTTCATCAATTTGATTAAAGAAAAACTCAGATAAAAATTAGGATGCACAATTTTTTAAAAGCCCAATAGTAACGGCTGTGCATTTGAAGTCACGAGTTCCAACAACTCTTTTCTGAAATGGTGATGCGCTGGGAGTAAATTTCAAAGTCTACAGACGGTAAGCAAGTGACGATTTCCAAACTTTGAACATTAACTGTAAACTTTGAAAGTTACTCTTAGAGCATGTCCAAACTTCTACCTAACTAACTAAAGTCATATCCATTCTTGACATTGCTCATTAACACAGTTCTTGGTAGACGACTTTGAATAAAAATTCTACTCAAGCATTTTCATGCCTTTTCACAATTAAAGAATCTTAGTAAACTTCAAACTTTCACAATAAGAGTAGCTTTGGGTACGTCATTGCTTGACTTTTGCAGCAGGATTGTTTTTAATGCTTGCCAAAGGGATTTGACTGGTCTGCAACATGTTTGTCCAATCCATCCTCAACGGTACTCCTTTGAGCTAAACATGTAACCAATACAACATGAGCAGTGCATTAATAGTGGATGAGGTAACATAAAACAGCAAACAAAAGAGTAGAATGTCAGCTGAGAGTTGGGATGCTACAAAAGTGAAATTTTGTTGAAAGGATATGTAAGCATTACCTTCATTATAAGAAAAGACTTGCATATGTAGCCAAGATTTGATTTTTATCCTCGAGCTCTAAAACAATCATGGAAACGTCTCTGCTTTCTCCCTGGTCTCCATCAATAATATTTGGTATGTATCCTTACCTTTGTACATGCTGAAGATGATCTTGAAATGGTCTTGGCACTATAAAAACTGCTGACCATTATGATTTGTCTATCACAGCAAGAATTCTCAAGGCAAACATTCTCTCCAGCCCAGTGCATATGATTCTCCAAACTTGTTATATGATCGGGTAATCATCCTTTCCAGCCAAGTACATGCAATTATGCAGAAGTTTAACCATGAAATATATATCTTCAGACCGAGAATGAGAACCATCCCAGGAAACAAACTTGTGAGCCTTTTGATCCACATGCACCAAGCTGTAACCACTGATGACCCTCACCCCCTTTTTCTTCATCAACAACCTTGCTCTTGCCATATCATGGATCGATCCTCCCTTTGCATACATACTTGATGTCAGTAAATATCCTGCCGAATTTGTAGGCTCCAGTTCAAGAATACGAGAAGCAGCATCTTTCCCGACTTCACAATTCCCATAACTTCTGCATGCACTCAGCAGAGCTCCCCAAGCAGCAGGACCAGCCTCTAGTTCTTTGGGCATCTTTTTGATCACCTCCAGTGCGCCTTCAACATCTCCAGCTCTTCCCAACATGTCCACCAAACAAGAGTAGTGCTCTGCACTAGGCTGGAGGAAAGGATCTGCACTCATCCTCTGGAAGATGGAGAGGCCCTCTTCTACTAAACCTCCATGACTACAGGCAGACAACATTGATAGAATGGTCACCTCATTAGGCCTCACATCTTCCACTTCCATCTCATGGAAAACAGCAAGTGCAGCTTGTGCGCATCCATTCATTCCCAATGCCCCTATCATTGCATTCCATGACAAAACATTTCTCTGTGGCATTGCCTGGAACACTTTTCTTGAAGCATTCACATCACCACATTTTGCATACATGTCCAAAACTGCAGTACCAATGGCTAACTCATTCATGAATTCATTCCTCACGACAATACCATGAGCACACTTTGACAGCTTAAGCTCTGCTGCAACAGTGCATGCTTCCAAAACACTCAGCATTGTGATTGGATTAGGCTTCTCTCCTGCCAACCACATCTCTCTGAAGAAGGCAATTGCCTTGTCTGGCTGGCCAATGTGCACAAAGCCTGAAACAACAATACTCCACGAGATCACATTCCTATTCTCCATTCCTTTAAACATTTCCATAGCCAGTTCCATATAGTTGCACTTAGCATAAGCATCCAACAGGTTGTTCAACACCATGTTAGTTGATATCAGTTGCCTCTTAATGACCATGGAATGGATGCACTTGCACCAAACTGCCTGGCCAAGTTTCTTGCATGACTGCAACAGATTCACTAGTGTTACTTCATCAGTCTGAATTCCAGCTTCTTTCATGGAATCAAACAATGCCAATGCTTCCCAATGTTTCTCAGTATGGACTAAGCTGGATATCATGCTGTTCCATGAAACAGTGTTCCTCCTGATCATCGCATCGAAGACTCTATAGGCAGAACTAATATCATGGCATTTTGAATACATATCAATCAAAGAATTTTCAATGAACAGGTCACCTGCAAAACCTCGACGAATCAAGTGGCCATGGAACGATCTTCCATGCTCAATGTCCTCGATGACACTGCAGGCTTGAAGAACACCAACTGCAGTTAACCCGTCCATATCAATCATATATTCGTTCGACATTTCTCGAAACAGCTGCAGCGCCACAAAAGCTTTCCCAGTCTGTGCATACCCGCCGATCAGCGCGCTCCAAGAAATCACATCTCTCTCGACGGTCTCATCAAAAATCTGCTTTGCAGAATCCATATCTCCAAACTTCGAGTACATAGAGAGCAGTGAGTTCTGAATGGACACATCAGCAACAAACCTGTTCCTCACAACAAGACCGTGCAGGCTTAGACCTTCGTCTACATCATCCAACTTCCAAGAAGCCTGGATTGCAAGCACCAACGAGGCCACATTTGGTTCAAAGTCCAGGATTCGGGCTTGCCTGAACAACCCCAGCCCCGCTTCAAAGTCGCCGCGACTTAAGAACCCATGGACCATCACATTCCATGAAACGGAATCTCTCTGCGGCATTTCATCGAATAACTTGAGCGCCGAGAACGTGGCGCCGCACTTCAAATAAAAACTCATGGCCGTGTTGCAAGTGGAGGTGCACGACAGAAAGCCCGTCTTGACAACATCGGCATGGACCGCGGTGCCCTGCTCCAAGGACCGAAGTTCGGCGCAAGCCTTGAAGACCGGGGGAAGCACGGTCGGGTCGAGGTGCATGGACGATTGCTTGATCTCGCGGTACAAGGAAAGAAAAGCTTGGCCCTGGTCTCGGGGCGGTGCGCATCTGTTGTTAGCCAGGGCATCCCAGTTGAGAGTTCTCGGAGAGGAAAGCCGGATTCTGGCGACCGGAACGCGCATCCAAGAACGCAAAGAGAGTGATCGTGCAGAGAAAGAACAAAGGAATCGGAACAAATCAATCGCCTTTGGATTTTGGGGATTCTAATTCGAGGTGGAGACAATGGCTCTATTAATTTTCAAGGTGATATATATATATATAACTTCAAATTTAATAAAATATAATTTTACTAAATACAATTACTCAATTACTAATAATATCTTTATTAGATATAGTTCGAGAAATTATTCAAAGGTCCCGAGAATAAGGTATCTTTTGGGTTGTGTAACAGTCCCACTCATATCATATATGTATAATTAAAATAATATGTCACTTTCTAATTCTTTTATTGTTATTAATAAAAACATAGACAATCTAATTTATATAAAAAATGATAGGATTGCATGGTGATATATATATACATAATTATAATTTATAATAAAAATGAAAATACTGACACATGTCCAAAATTTATATAAATACAAATGTCCATATACCATAATATATATCTACACTAGTATAGGCTCGTACGTGGTCATTTTCCTACCCAATTACTTGAGTGAGATACTAATATTTTTATCTACAAAATAAGATCTATAATGAGTATTCATATTAGCATTTATAACTTTCTTTAGATGAGCATATATTATGTTATATATATAATATTTTAAAATCATCCACAAGTGATATTTAACGATAAACATAACATTCTATAACTTCTTTAGCAAACATAACCTTATAACATAATATATACAAAATAAAGAGGTAAAATTTTATATCAAGATAATTCAAAATATTTATATGCATACGTAGGAAACATAACAAATTCATGGATTTCTACTTTCTGTATCATAACATGTACATGCACTTTGTATTAGGACCAAGTTGGTAGTAAGAGGGTCGCACTCGAGGGGGGGGGGGGGGGGTGAATTAGTACTTTCGAAAAAATTACATCGATTTGAAACTTTATACGATGAAAACCGATATCGGAAAGATGTTTGACTTGAAAGCGTGTTCGTAAGCGTAGTGAAAGTAATAAGCAAGTAAATCAGTTTGCAATATGAAAATGAAAAACAAAATTGAAATGCAAACTAGATTTATAGTTGTTCAGTCGTCATGACCTACATCCACTCTCGATTCCTCTTCACTCGAGGCCACCGGCTTCTACTATCGATCTTCTTTCAGCGGGCAAAAATCAACTACCCTTTTACACTCTTTCTCCTTTTGAAAAGCTCAGGAGAGAACCTTTACAACCTCTCTTTTTTAGATATCACTTCTCCCTTTAGAAGAATTTCTAAATACTACGAAGAAGTAACTCTACACTTTAAGGGAGATTACAACCTTTCTTTCTCAAAAGTATTTTTCCCCTTTCTACTCAATTTTGTGCTTCTCTACGCAAGAATAGCTAGGGTATTTATAGACCCCAAATGACTTCAAACTTGGAGTAAAAAAAGGTCTCATCCTAGGTTTTCCGGATCCTGGTGGTACCACCACCTGTGCTGGGTGGTACTATTGCCTGTAACATTGACACTGGGTGGTACCATCGTCCAGTCTAGTGATACCATCGGTTAGTACTCTCTGACACTAGACGATACCACCGCTTGACACTGTTAGGACCATTTTTCTGAGCTTTTGAATAATGTTTATTGAGTCAGTTTAGTTCAGTTGTTTATTGAGTCTGTTTAGTTCAATTAGAATCGGGTAGAAGTTTATTTAATATTTATTTATTATTAAGAGTCGATGTGAAACTCTATAAATAGTATTGTAACCTTTTCTTTTGCAATGAATCAATCAATAAAATATTATTTCAGTTTATTATGACAAATCCTAGGAGGTCGATCCCCTCGAAGCGATCAAAACGATCGATCCCCTCGAAGTGATCAAGGAGGCCGATCCCCTCAATGCAATCATTCCCTTTTCTTCCATTTCTTTCATTTCTTTTACGATAAGATTTTTGGGTCTTATTATTTTGGTATCAAAGCGACGATAAGACTTTAGGGTCTTAACATTTGGTATCAGAGCGGTGATTCTTAGCGTTCTCATTGCAGTATTGTCGTAGCTATAAAAAAAAAAAGAAATTTGTGTGAAGAAGGTGAAGTCGGTAGCCACGAATGCCGATCCTTCTCAATCGAGAAGGAACCTCTGCGTCTTGGTCAGCGACCATTGTTGCCCCTTCTCCACCGCCGTCGCTACTGGCCAGCCAGCAGCCGCCACCATCGCCGCTGCCCCCTTGCTGCAGAAAAAAAAAAAGGAGGGGGGGGGGGGGGGGAGCGGG